TTATTGGATATTTCTCTTTGCAATCCCAAACATCAGTCAATAGCCTCACTGGTTTTAGATTTCCACATGGTGCTACCATCCTATATAGTCATCTTAAAACAGTCCTTCCCCGTTTGCAATTTAGACATCTGCTATTATTCAAGACTGCAATTCAAGTGTTTCCCTCCTTTATCTTCCACATCATTCTTAACAATTAATTTCAGAGACAAGCATTACTCCTGTGTGGTTCAAGCAGTCACTACTTTTCTAGACATACTGGCAGATATTTTGCCAACTTGAAAAAAAAATTACAATATGAGAAAAAAGAAGAATGATGCATAGGAGGGTATATCCCTGGACCTTGAGGAGAGTGACGAGGGAATAAATCTGATTTGTACCAGCCAAGAATGCAGCCCAAAGACAGTGAGTAATCTAGGTCTAGCAATCCAGCACATATGCATCTGGTGATGCTTCCAGTGAAGCAAAGAATCACACTGGTATTGGGGGTCTGAATTGACTTCAACAACTATTTATTGTCTTCCTGAAAATTCCTTTGTTTGTGTGTTGCATATGGTTAAGAAAACCAAGCTTTCATTTATGACTTAGCTTTACTTATAATCCATAAGCCACTCTGTTGTCTATTTAATCAATTCAATCTACTTTTTTTTAACATCCTGTTTGCACTGCATCGTGTTATTTATTAGTGATGTAGTTCTTCAATACAGATTTTCGAATAAAGGTCATCTTGCTATATAGCATTATATTGGGGCATTGACTTTCTTATGCTGTAAACAGCATTTGAATTGGTTTCTAACCACAACATGATTAATTCAGTTTGTTACCACTGAAGGCTTAAATGTGGTAACCCAATTAATAGATTTTTGTTAAACAAAATCTTGAGAATTAATATGATCTGTACATGCATACCGAAACATAAAACAACGTAACAGGTAACTATACATGAAATTATATTCCATATATAAGATGGGGGCAGGAGGAAAGGAGGACGGAAGAATTTTATTTCTGCTCTCTGTTATGTCTGTAAAAAAATTTTAAAAAATCCACACAGATATATAATGTATCTGAAATTTCTTCAAAACTACATAAAACTCTGTTCTGACCACTGAAGACGCTATGGGAAGAAACAGATTTTTTTATATATATAAGAATGAACTTAGAGAATGACACAAATAATTTTCATGACATACTGGCGGTGCTTTTATGTTCCAGGCCACCTATTTTATATTATCTTATGCTTCATCTGTGTCATTGACCAATTTAATCATAATGGTACTAGGGAAAGAAGCGATTAGATTTGCCTCACTTCACCCATTTTTCCCTTAACTGACAGTGTTACTGTGTACAGTAACATTGTCTTTTGGAATCATGCTCCATTTTGGGCCTGCTTTATTTATTTTAGTAGGTGGGAATTTAAGTAACAAAAGGAAGGTCTCAAACACTATTTTCTTGCTTTCTGAAAGCTATCTTACAAACTGAATGGCACTCTTTATTCTTTTATACCTCTTCATAAGATTTAACCAATATTTATAAATGTATAATGTACTTAGTTTATACTTTTTTCCACTAGACAAGAAGAGTGGACACTCAGCTATATCCATGTTAATTCCAGTAGTAATATCAGATAGCAAAATGCAATATCTGTGTACACGGACAGAAAAAACTAACATGACTACAAAGCATGAATCTAAAAGAACCCACTACATGCAAGCCTCTGCTAATATACAAAACCTAACAATATCATCTCACATGTAATACTTCCAACTGCTTATGTTAGCATTTATAGTGATATTATCTGTATTGCAGTATAACCTAGCAATGCTATGTGTGGATTATACAATGAAAGCTGCAAGTTGAGAGTTAGTAATGAACAGTGAATAAACCTTTCAAGAAGACTTCAAGCTGTTTAACAGACAAAAAAAGTTCAAATTTTAGCAGACGTGTAAGAAACAAACACATCATATGTGTCATATTATACTGGCAAGGTATAGAATATTAATTATATCCAAATGAGAAGCCACTATTCCAACAATAATGGTATATTCACAAAGGGAAAAACAAAAGCAGTATTAGCACAAAATTAGTTTTGACAAGATCAGTGAGAATCCAAAGCTAAAAAGCATTACAGAAGTATATAATTATCCCCAAATTAGTGTTATGAATCTAAGATGTTTGAAGGTAAGATTATACTTCATGTAAATTTATTAAAATTGAAGCTGAAATTCATACTGAGGACAGACAGACAACTTAAACACAATACTGGCATCATTTCCAAGACATGTTTTTCATGATTTAACATGGATTTTTTTGTTTGTTTTCCCTCTAATATAGCCCTGCTTCATGACAAGGGCTGAGGTTGCTTAATAATTTAACTAGTTTTTCCTTGCCTACAAACAGTGTGTTCTTACATCTCCAGCATGAATTACAAATTCCTTGGCTTTGTGATATATACAAAGTGCAGTCTTTTGGAGGTTGAAGAACTGGGGAAACATAATTCTTCTGCTGGACTTGTAGAGAAGATCTCAAAGTGACAGGCTTCACAGCAAACTTAATTTGTCAGCAGGAGTCTTCTGGCACTGGCAGTAATATCTAGTCATATGCAGACATTACTACACCAGAGAAAACCTTTGTGACTTGGCTGGTGCAGGAAGCAGTATAAATTAATTGCACTAACCTTGCAGTTAGAAAATTCACCTGCTTTGTTCTTAGAAATAATTCTGCTGGGTGTAGGCCTCAGTAAACCCAATACTGCCTTGAGTTGCAAATAGTCAGAGACCAGCATCATGCTCATCATTACCCTTGCTGTTCCCACTGTTGACCTGGACAGGTCAGTATCATTGTCTCAAAAGCTGCGATGGCAGCATCATAAGTAAGGAAAAACCCGCGTTCAACTGCACACTAGTTGAGCTTAGTGGCAAAGGCTCAATTGGGTTCGACCAAAAGCACAGACCCAGCAGACTCAGCCTAACCATCAGCAGACAGAGGTGAAAAGGCATACACCACAACAACCAACCTGCGTCACACCAAGCACTCCTTTAAACCGCCACAATCCTTACCAAGTTTTATCCTACCCTAAACTGTGGTCCAATAACACAGCTCCTGCATTACCTTCCATCTCTGCCCTTCATCTTCTCAGCAACCTGTCCCAGATGGTCTCCTTCCAGCTGCACCCGTGTCACCCTACACCCAGCACCACGCCCATGGGATGAGAGCACACATTCCGCCCATACCATTGCAAGCCTTCATGCATGCCATGCATGTTTACCAACACTTCAGCAAGGCCTCCATGTGGAGCAGAGCTTCTTGCTTTTGGATTCTGGTGAAGGCTTTTCTTTCTATGACTAGGAGAAGACTTCCTGTTGTTTGGTTTAAAATCTGAGTAGAGCAAATTGTATTCTTCCTTTTAGGACTCATTTTCACAGTGTTGGCTTACTTTTCTCTCCTTTCAGAATGTAAATAATTGGCCTATCACAATTCCATTTTGTCCCTCATCCTAACATCCAGGGAAACCTCCTAGTTGTGTTTTGTTTTACTGGAATGACAGAGTTCCAAGTTCTATTTTAGTTATTTTTATATATAAATACATTTATGTTTAATTATTGCTTTTCTTTTTATGAATTCTTATTTCTACAGTGAAGATCCTCACAGTTCAAACTGCTAAATCATCCCAACCACATCCAACCACATTATCTAACCCATTTTATAAGAGGCAGCAATTAATATTGCCATGGAAAAATAGTCAGATACAGTATTTCCAAATGTTTTATCTTTGGCATATTCCAGCCTCCATTATATGATATCTCATTCATGTTCATCCTGCACACAATTCAAGACTACTGACACTGTAATGTTGTGTTCCATGTGTCCAAAAATACAGTACTGGAATGAGGTATTACCTAGATATCTGTCACTTCAATGAATGAAACCTGAAGGGAAAAAATTAGCAGAAAGGGACAATGGGAGATATTCCAGGCTCTTCCTGATGGTACATGTAGACTGACGTGATTGAATCTAGTTTGGATTTTCCCTGTGTCTGTGCAGCCAGACATTTCCTCTGTGTGATAGGCCAGGCCAAATCAGAAATTCACCAAAACTACCCATAGGTGAGCAAAAACAACTGAAAAAAACCCCAAAACATAACAAATAAAAACTCCCAAATATCTACCTGTATAATTACAGAAACAGAAACAGCTCATGATGGTTCAGTTTTCTACATATTTCAGCTGGACACAGTCCCTGCAGCTTGCAAAGCCTTTACAGAAGTAGTTCTCTGAAGTCCAGCCTCCTGCACATTTGTGGTTTGTGGTTGATTGCAAACTGTGAAGGTTTGTCACACTGAGGCATCTATAAAGTCTGTCTCTATGTGGATTTTCCTTTCTCTAATACTGCTTGTATTCACTTTGCAGCCTTTGCTTCAGTTCAGGCAGACTATCTTAATTTTGGACATCCACATTCCTGAAATAGGTACTTAGCAAATTCACCTTTCGAGATCCTTAAAAGCTTTGACAAATTTCACTAAAATCAGCCAAAAAGCATTAAAGTTCAGGTAGGGAAGACGAACACAGGAGTTTAGATGGGCAAGAAGCACACACCTATGCTTGAATTGCAACTGGAAAAGCTTTGCTTCCTTTGGAAACTAACTTATTTCAGGCAGTACTTTCAGTTTTCCTGTAATCCTATTTTATGGGGCAACTCCCGCTCCTTGTGGGGGTCTGGCCTTTATTTTGAACTCAAAAGATGCTACCTTGATTGATGTCCCCTGACTAAATTTGATGGGCAGCGCAGCAGTGAGCTGAAGTGTTTGCAGTCTCTCTCATGGGTCACCTGTCTCGCTTTTTTTGGTTTTGATTTACTACTCTCTGCCACGCCAAAAAAATAAATATATGCCTTAATACTGTGGAGGAGCTAACCATGCCGAACCAGAACACATTCCCAAGCGGGTGTCACACTCTGGGGAATACTTCCCTGGTACCTTTCGTCCTCGGCGGGCTTTTCCACACAGGATGACCTGGTCTCCCTGCTGCAGCCTCACACTGAAACCCAGCGCTCTGCACAGCTGGGAAGGCTCGACTCGTTCCTCGTTTTCTCCCTACAGAAACAACTTGGGAGGCCGAGGGCTCCCACCGCGGGTAACGGGGCGATGCCGGGGTGTGTGGGTGTGTGCTCAGCGGGGGATATGGGTGGGGCCGAGCGGGCGGCGGAGCCCCACGGGAGGCGGCAGCCGGGGGGGGACCCGCGTTTCTGTCCCGGTGGAGGCGACCGGCCGGGATAGCGGTCTCCGGCCGGGACATCGCTCTGCGGGCGAGGGAATATCGGCGGCGGCGGCGGAGCCATGCTCCCGGCAGGTCGGTGCGGGGCGGCGCGGGGTGTGAGGGCGGGGAGGCTGCCCCGCGTTGTTGTCCAAGGGTGGTGGTGGAGCGTGGAGAACCAACCCTGCGTGAGGCGTTCTGCGCTTTGCCATGAAGGAAGTTGGGTGCTTAGTGGGCGCACACCCTGTGAGCGTGCCTGCTCCAAAACATTTTTTTTTTTTCCTCCCTTGGGTGTTTCCACTCGTGTCACCTGTTTGCATGTTTTCATGACAAATTGTGCCAGAGCTTTTACTGTTTTATTGTCTGTTTACTGCTATTCTTAGTACGTCAGGACAGTTTTACATAACTTTTCCTTGAAAATAGCCCTCAAGTGCAAGTGGTGTCTAACAAGTCTTTGACAGTCTCGAAATACCAATGTAACTTTTCTGAAGAGGGGGAAGTCTGGCACCAAAAAGTTGGGAAATGAAAGAATAAAAGTTGTATGAGCAATGTTAATTCGGTCCTAAATGTATATCCGCTCTGGGATAGTCTTAATTGGCTAATCATTTGTTGTGTTATTAATTAAAAATTGATTGTCTTTTTCCAGTCTTTCAGTTTTCAGTATGGGCTCCAGCCTACACTGTACAGCAAAACTGTGCTATGCTTTGCACAGAAATATTAATTTCCTTGTTCATGCTTTCATCAGTGTTTTTTGCATTATCTGTATGCCTCAAAACTGTTAGTGTATATTTTGTTACTCCCTTGGTAGTATTGGGATGCATTATCCAATTGACTGATGGAAAAATTTTATGAAAAGATAAAAGTACTTATGAAGGTCTCATGTAAATCAGAGGCAGTCCTTAATCTGAACCAGAAACCTGTGACTCCTTGTCCCTGTGCATGTTTTTCCCTGTCATGTTTCCTTATTCCCAGAAATACTGTGTATTTACTGCTCCCATTTTCTTCATGTGTCTTTGCAAGGCTCAACACCACAAATCAGTGACTGCAAAGCTGGGCATTCAGTAAAGAGGAAATGAAAGATGTGCATGCAGGCACCAGAGGTTTCACTTGCTTGCAGCAAGGAGCTCGGCTCTGTTTTTGCGATGCTTCTCTTAGTTGGGACAATATTTTATCCTCATTTTCTGAATGAGGAGTCAAGAAAGAGAAGTCTGAAGGTCTGAGTCTGCAAAGGTGACTCAATGCTTTCGTCTGCTGTTCTGGTTCATCATTTAAAATTACTACTTCATATGTTAAGACAGGTTTTTTACAAAGTACCTTATATTTTGTATCCATTTATAACTTCCGAGTAACTATATCAGATATCATCAAGTGCAGCATTCTAATGACAATATCATCACAAGCCATCTCTACGTACTGCTTTCATTATACAGATGAAAACATTAGGGAAGAAAGGCAAAGTCACTTTCCCAGCTGTTTTATAATAAGTTAGTTATAGATAAAGTATCAAAACTCAATACCGCTTTACTTTCTACCCAAGGCTGATTTTGAAATGGGTGGAGTTATTGTACCAGTACCTAGCTTTTGATAGATAGGATTTTCTATTTATAGCATTTCTAAATATGCACATACTATCCCAGTTATTAGGCAAACTGATATTTTCTAGATATGAACAGTCAGTTGTGTTCTGATAATCACAGAAGTTTGTTTAGTGATCATTCTGTATCAATAACAGTATACAACTGGGCGTGACCTGGGGACATCCACTTTAAAGTCTGGCTTTTGGTGAATAAAGGCAGTCAAATACTGAGTATGCGTGCGAAATAGCTGGAGTAATTGCAGAGTAAATATGTAAGAACACCAAAGAGGGATGGCTGGTTTCCCAGCTGCTCACAGTGAGTTCCACATATTGGCAGAGGAACAAGTAACTGTAGGCTCAGCCAGCAGAGAAGATGCTGGCCTTCTGCTGTCATCATTTGTCTTTGTCATTTTTTCATGTATTGCTCTGACTAAGCCTCATCCACCTGCAGCCTCCATGCATAAACCTGTCTCCTGCAGTTTTACCACATCACCAAACCTTTCTTTCCACAGTGTAAAGAGATCTGTTTTCTCCTGATGGAACACTAGCTGTGAGGTAGTTGCTTTAGGTGGATTGCCCAAGGCCTAGTCTAACTAAAATTTTAAAGCTGTTTGGGATGCTTGGTGGGAGAGACAGGCTTGTTACTTGCCAGTACTTTGTAGGACATCCTGGCCTGGATGAACTTCTTTATTCTATTAAACATGCTGTAGCTAGTAAAGATAAAACACCAGTAATGTTGATGATCCTTGATGACATCTGTCTTCACTTGAGACAGGAGGCACTGATGGGATAACTTAATTGCTATGCTGTGTTTGAGTTATTACTCCTCTCCACACTCTTGAATGTAAATATCTTCATTGAGATCTTTCACTATGTACTCTTTATTTACACGATGTACATTTCTGTGTCTCCAACTGCTGCTGGGGCTATGTTTACGTGTCACGTTCTGGGAGGGAACCTAGCCAGGGAAAAAACAAAAGTAATACTGGGTTTTTGTTTTTCTCAAGAATTAGGGATTGCATGAATTTTAGTAGCTTTAAAAATTTTTCAACTGCTTCAGTTTTAGGGGGAAAAAAAGGTTTCAGACTATGTTTTGATTAAAAATCTAAGGGGTCTCATGGTGGAGTTTTAAAGCAGATTCAGCAATAAGTAAATGTTCATAATATGAACATTAATATTACTGCTAATAATGTATTAGTAATTTAAGTATCAAAGAAGTGAGAAGTACCTTATAATTAACACAAAGCTATCTATGTCTCTGGAAGTGTTGGGTTGCTTGTTCAGATTCAGAAGTTGTTCCTAACAAGATGTTTGCCTTATGCAAATCCTCTCCTGTCTCCTTTCTGCTGCAAGCAGTAATTACTGAAGTTTGCATACAAGCAATTGACCACCCACATTTGAAAAATTCTATCAGTGAGGTCACATTAATGGTGAAATCAAGCATGCTTTCAGTTTCTGAAAAGAACGTTTGTGTCCAGGGAATCAGAAGACACAGTGTGACTGTTTTCCTATCGGTGTATCTCTTAAGCTTATCTTTGAGCATTTGGTCAGCTTATATACTCTTTTGTTTGCTTGTAGGTAATGAAGAATGTTTTAGCTCCTCTAATAAGCTTAAGTGCCCTAATGCAAACAGCAGCAATAGTTTGTGATATAATTGTATCCTCCTGGGAGGTCCAGTCATTTCTGGCTATCATCAAAAAAATAAAGCTACCCTGACCTTTTGTATAAATTAAAATCAGACTATTGCTATGTGAACTGTGATAAACAACTAGGTTTTGCTAAATTTAAACAAAAGTAGTAAGTTCAGAATGGTATTTTAAATAGTTTCTGAAACTGCCATGAAGGTAAGAAGGGACTCACGAATACCAAGATCTAAATTTTAAATGGGATCTATTTCATGTGATGATATTGATGATTATTTAGTGTTTATTGGCTCCCTGCATAGTAAGAAAGCAAGGCTTTGTATTAAGATAGAGTGTATAATTTATGTTACTGCAGGACTGACAGTTAAAGCAAACTGGTCTTAGCAGTCCCTTTATTACTTTATTCTACCAAGTTTCCGTGAGTCTTTGTGTACAGTTAAATAAGAAAAGGCCTACACGTATTTGACATTGAGACAGTTCAAGCAGAGGTATCGCTGAGTTTGGAAAGCACCCTTTTGCATTCAGATCATATGCTTAACAGCTGTAAATGACTTGAAACTTTATACAGGTGTTTATAAATAGCTGCAGTCTGTGGCTAAGGTTCATTTCTTCTTGTAAGCTTAGGGGTGATGAGCAGTCATTTTTATATGACCAATTGCCAACTAATGAGCCTTCATTATGGCCAAGTACTACATACTATTAAAAACAAATTTACAACAGTAAGTATAATTCCTTCTAGTAGTATTTTGAAGTCACTTCTATGATAAATGAGAACTCTCGGCATATCCATAGGAAATACAGTTACTGCCTGAGTATAGTGTATTTGGAATATCAGTATTCAGTGATACTCAATTACTACTTTTCATCAGAGAGCTAGCTTTACTAGTATACCATGTGAGCATTGATTCAGAGCATTCAAGTTCTGAAGTACACAGTAATGTTTATTGCTGTTAGAAAAGGAAAGCAAACTTCCATCTTCTTTGCTTTTAATTGGAAAGAAAAATAATTTCAAACCCTATTCAACTTTCTTTTTTTTAAATCTTTTTGATCATTTGTGCAGAATTTGGACACAGTGGTGATTTGCAATGTGCAACGCAGGGCTCAGCTTTCCTCTCCAGAGAAGTTCTTAGAGGATGCTTAGATGAGAAATGAGATGGTTTTACAAGCATGCATATGTTCCACATTCCCAGTGGTTGATGCAGTAGCAGGTTCCTCAAAACAGATACTAATAGTAGTGTTTTTTTCTTGGAAATGCTCTCTAGCATATCCACCTGTCTTGATGTACTACCGCATTTTTTTATTTCTACAGTTGAGATCTATGTATCAAGTAGTAATTCATCCTGCAGTGTTTCATTCTTGTTATTGATAAATACAATAGTAAAATAAGGAAATCAAAAAAGAAAAGCCAAAGGAAATGTTTGAAAAATTGTTAAAATTTCATTGGTGATCTGTTGGCATTTTAAATATTTCCCTTGCATGTGGTGTGATGTGCTTGTGTTTGTGAAAGTGTGTATGTATGTACATAAGGATGTTCTTCAGAAAAGGGAATGGGAATTTTCATAACTTCTTTTGCTTCTCTTTAAGAAATAGAGAATTCTTGTAAGAATGTGAAGCTGAAATGCAATACCTTTGTCAAGTTTCAGTTTTCTCTCTGTGCATACTGGTAAACTTACTTCCAGTGAGTTGCTGAATCTTGCAGGTTTTCATAGCAGAAAAAAAAGAATTGCAAACTCTTTCACCTTTTTCACTATGAAGTTTTAGTAGATGTCTTTATTTCTTAATTCCTTTGTCTGTAAGGAAACTGTAATGTTGAAGTCCATAGAGTCTTAGGGTCCTAGATTAGTTTGCATTGGAAGGGACATTTAAAGGCCATCTCGTCCA